TATATTTTATTCTTACCTATAATGAACATTAATGTTCATAATTTAGGGGGAATCTGTCATCTTTCTGAAGTTTCAGGATCAGGAGTAGTAAGGACTGTTTGTAGCCACAGCCATTAATTCTGATGTGGGGGTAACTGCTGTCATGGTTCCTTCAGGCGAAGTTAATACTGGTGAGAGGCAGGCATCACACAGAGTGGCAACAGACTCCAGAATCAGGCTTGACTCCGTGATTTTTGCCAAAATACTTGTTGACTTTGAGCTCGTTTCATCATTTGTAAAATTTGACTAATGATACCTACTTCACCTCATATAAAATTCTTAGGAGAGTACATGATATAAGTGGTCAGTAAATGTTAATACATCCTTCTTTTATAAGTAAAATGACACAAGCTCTTGGGATATTAATAGATAGAGGAGGATGAGTGACAAAACTGTTTATAAACACAAGCCTAACAAATTGCAGAATTGAGGCTCATACAGCTTGTATTTAATTAGAATATGTGCTTTACAACAGACTCTGTCTTATTTGTGTTACATTCAACATGTAACCTTTTAACTGAGATATGTTGACCAGAAGAATGGCAACGAGAGTGGACCTATGTCATACTGCAGGGTAAAATATCTGTACTGCGATATTTTTCTTGTTTAGAATCTTCATCTGTAATCCTGATTTTGAAAATTAATTATTGGAACAACATCTTGCAGAACCTCCTTTATGGCATGCTGAACTTACCAAAGAAGAATTGGTTCAAAAGCTCAGTTCCACCACAAAAAGTGCCGATCATTTAAATGGCCTGCTTCGGGAAACGGAAGCAACCAATGCGATCCTTATGGAGCAAATTAAGGTAAGGTAAAAAAACTGCCAATAAGAAAATGCACCAATTCAGTTTTCTTGACCCTCTACACACTCTTACCTATGTTTAAAGTTCATATATCAGATATATCCATAACATCTTGATTCTTAATCATACTATATTCCTAAAATCAAGAAATATTAATTGCTTTTATATCTATTATGTAAATACTATTTTAGTTCCTACTTTTTCTAAGAAACCATAATAGATTTAAAAATTAGATAGATGTTCACAAGTCAGTATTCCACATATGCTTAAATAAAACTTAAATGAGTATAGGTCCTTAAATTCTAAAGATAAACCATGGAGCACTTCTTATTTATTAATAGATCATTCTGCTGATGTTTATGGCACTAAACTACTTTTTACAGGTTTTAGTGGAGATGGCAGAAATGGCATAGGAAGTTTTTTCTATTTAAAGACACCAGAAACATGTAGTTACAAGGTAGCTTGTGGAACTGTTAAGGATTACTCAAATGAGATATTTCCACCCTGGCTCACTGATAAATTAACTGTACAAATATAGTCATACTACTTAATGAGTAGTTCCCATGAGCAAGGCCCTGGGCTTTACGTAGATTATTGTATTTAATCCTCTTAATCACTGGATCAGAGAACAATTGAAGCTGATAAATGGTGGAGCAAAATTCAAACTCGCGTCTGAAAAGCACATTTCTGCCTAGTACCATGCAGGGCCGCCAGCTATCCTTGTCAAACTAATTTTTTTTTAATGCTGAGTTATGCAGTTATTTACAGTAAATTTTATATTATGACATCCCACCACTAAATACTTTAGTGTGCATCTCTGTATAAAACATTTTCCCACATAGTCAAAACATCACATCTAACAAATCACTAACTAGCCCAGTGAACCTAGTGACTATTAAAATATATTATTTTCACAAATATACAATCTCACGATTTCTTAGACCTTATCGTCACTTTTGAAAAATGACCCTAGGTTTAACTTTCTTGGGCTACCCTAAAATTATGACATAAAGCAATATAATTTTAAAAATTTCAACCCAGAAATCATTCTCCAAGACTTTAACGTTCTATCATATTTTTTATATCCTTTGCTCCATTCTTCTAGTAGTATTTTAGATTGTCTTAAATTCCAGAAATTTCACTCTCTCCTGAACTCAACTTTTGTTTTGGTTAAGTGCTGTTCATCATGTAAACATAATTTCACTGTGTCCATCTAACTGCCCGGAGTTCTGGGAGCAGGGCAGGGCAGAGTGTTAGTGATGATGCAGGTGTTCACGTCAGCCCCTGCTTCCAGACTTGGACTCACACTTCCCACAATGTCCTGAGCCCAAAGTCCTGAGCTCGCTGGTTTAGTTTCTACAGAAAGCGGAAGGTGGAGGGAGCATCATGGTACCTGCCTATATAGACTATGTAATCCTTTATTTTCATCTCCAATTTCCATGGTAACCTGTACTTCTGAGGCAGGAGATTCTCGGTGCTTTTGTGGGAGTCACTCTTTCTTCTTGTCTGTGGTACTTAGTAAGCAGCTGGAC